TTGTTAACATATGTAGAACTGATGCCAGGCCATAAAACAACATTGTACTGAGTATTACACATCTTCAGAAAAGTCTGGTTGTTTTGTGTTTGTCTTTTTTTTTTCCTGGGGTTGGGATGGGCTTTTTTGGTCTACAAATTATTTCTTCAGTTATGTGCATGAGTGCCTAACGGGCTCAGGAGCCTGGAAAATTTTTATGTTCTCTTGCTCCCTGGATCTTTGCCCAGTATCACAAAACCTGAGAGAGGGCTGATCTTTGAAACAGGGAAAGGAAGAAGAATGAAGAAGTAAATAAGCAGCTATTTCCTTTGCAGAACAGATTCTGTTACATCAGTTACAGGTTGGTAAAGACCTTCACAAACTACTACCTTAGCATCTCTGTTTCTCAGGTCATCCCTAAGACTCATACTTTCAAAGGGCTGTTCAAACTTGGCTCTAGCTATAGTACATTCCTCAATGGTCTTTCATGCTTGTGGTGTTCAATAGAGTCACTTTTCAAATGGTACATACTGTATATATGGCATTCCATAAAAACAGGAGGCAAAAAGCTTTGTAGAGTGAATTCCTGGAACAGCTCTTCAGGATTCTGAAAAAGCCACTTATGAGCTCATCTGTTTCTGCTCTAAAGTATTTATGCTAGATCACAGAATAAAGAGCAACCATTCAATTGATGTACTTTGTAGGGCACTTAGGAAACAGTTTTTTATCACTTAGTAACTGTAGGATAAGTAAAACAGCACTGCACACCAAGAAATACACAGCATGGAAAGACACTGAAAGTCAGGATTATATAGAAGAGTTATATCTTTATCCACTTTGATACCTTTTCACTTAAGTATTTTGTGATTCCATGTTTGGCACATTAGGTACATTGAAGCTAGATTAACAACAAACAGCTGCTATTTATAGCATTTCCTCAGAGTTAGGAACAGTTGCTGCTGCACTTTAGGACCAATCACGTTACATCTGTATTGAAATAAGAAGACAAACATGTTTTAATGCCAGCTCTGCCTGAATTTCAAATGAAAACCACATTAGTTAACTTGTGAATTTCTCAGTCAGTTTCCAGTGTCAACTTACATAGTTTAAATAAAACATCTCACCAATGCACAATACAGTACAAAAAGATGCTAACAGCATGGTCCTAGGTGCAATAGCGTGCTTCAAATACTCTTCCAAGATAAAAGCCAGGAATGGTCTGCAAAGGTCTCTAGCCTGCAATAGCCTGGACCTCAGCAAGTTCTGCCACCATACTTCTCATTTCACAAACTCTTTGGCTCAACTGTCAGCAGTCATACAAGCTTAAATATGTTAAGTCCAACAACCCACAGGTTTTCTAGTCTTGCTGCTGTCCTAAGCACTGTGAGAATGGGATCCCAAGCGCAGAAAGGTTGCAAGGGCATCAAGTCATAGCATGTTTGATCCCACTGCTTCCCATTTGTTTATAGGAAGAAATCATAGAATCATAGAATCATAGAATCAGCTGGGTTGGAAAGGACCTCCGAGATCATCAAGTCCAACCCTTGATCCAACACCGCTGTGGTTACTAGACCATGGCACTAAGTGGTGGCACCAGTCTTACCTTGAAAACCTCCAGGGATGGAGAATCCACCACTTCCCTGGGCAGCCCTTTCCAATGCCTGATTACCCTCTCTGCAAAGAATTTCTTCCTAACATCTAACCTAAACCTCCCCTGCCAGAGCTTAAGGCCCTGCCCTCTTGTCTTACTGACAGCTGCCTGGAAAAAGAGATCAACCCCCCATCTGGCTACAACCTCCTTTCAGGGAGTTGTAGAGAGTGATGAGGTCTCCCCTGAGCCTCCTCTTCTCCAAGGTAAACAATCCCAGCTCTCTCAGCCTCTCCTCATAGGACTTGTGCTTGAGTCCCTTCACCAGCCTTGTTGCTCTTCTCTGGACCTGCTCCAGCACCTCAATATCCTTCCTGAACTGAGGGGCCCAGAACTGGACACAGTACTCCAGGTGTGGCCTCACCAGCACTGAGTACAGGGGAAGAATCACTTCCCTGGTCCTGCTGGCCCCATTGTTCCTGATCCAGGCCAGGATGCCATTGGCCTTCTTGGCCACCTGGGCACACTGATGGCTCGTGTTCAGCTTCTTGTCAATCCAAACTCCCAGGTCCCTCTCTGCCTGGCTGTAGGGCAGATGGCTGATGTTGAATTCATTATCTTATAGGCACAGGCTCATCTCCTTTGGGCACCTACAGGTAATTGTGCCTCAGAAGCCACTAACTGAGGACCTCACAACTGATGAGGATGGTGGATGTCTGTGCTCAAAACATGCACAGTCATGCCTGCTCTGACATTAGCAAGGGTCTTGTCTGGGGAGAGCAGCCCTTTCCTAACTTAGAAGTAATAACAAAACGATAAACAGAAAAGAGACACTAGTGAGACACTGAACTTCACTGATAGCATGACAAAATCCATTTCCTTTTTCTGTTCAGAAGCTTTCTACACCATCTGAAAACTTGACACTGCAAAGTTGCAATTTGCAGTAGGTTTCACTGTACAATTTTCTTAGTTGAAGCATTTGCTTACTGCCTACTGGCTGGCCAAACAGAAAGCATAAAGCAGAAAGGAAACCTGAAGTATCAGTGGGTTAATTTTTCAAAAGCATTTGTGCATTCGGTACAGAGCTGCCTCAAAAAGCAACAGGACATCTGCACTCATGTCACATCATCGCCTCTGAAGATGAATGCATCCCTGAGAGCTTGATGCTTCACAAAGCAGTAATCACATTTCTTTTACTGCTTTAAGTTATTCAGAAACATAAATGTGTTGAAGTTAAGCATCGGTGCCTAAAATAAGGAGTGCAGGTTTGACAATTCTGAGTAGCAATTTTGGTGATATCAAACATTTCTTGCAGCAGCAATGACTAAGTCTAAAATACAACAAACCTTTGGGAAAATATATCAGAAATATGTCAATTATTTTTTTTCTGTTTTCCTTACCCCTCCACAACCACCCCAATTGCTAAATGCAAGAATCCACATAAAACACTTGGAAAAATGATTGAAAAAGGACAAACTGAACTGAAAATGCTACAAAAGTGGTCAAATAAAGAAAAAAAGGACAAAACCAAAAAAGAACCCTCCAAAAACCTCTTAAACAGGGAAGAAAAAACAATAAATTGCTTTCTCCTCCAAAGGATTTGAGTAATAATATTCAACGTTGCTTGTTACAGATAAAACTGTCAGACAAATATTATTTCAGTTCATGGTGATTATTTTTATTAAATATGCTAAAATCCCATGGGAGAAGTTAATGAATTATTTATAAATCAAGCAGCATATTAAATTCTGGTCAACATATAGATGAACACAAGCACATCTAAATGTGCAGTTACATCTCAAACTGAATCACTTTTCACCAGACTTCTTCAGTGTCCTACAGTGACCTGCATTTTCAATTAAGTTCCAGGATTTTAAGTTATAATTTGTGGCAATACCTCTGACCAGTTATGTTTCACAGGCTTCAACCTAATTTCAAACTGTTTTGCTTTAGACCTTTGTAAGAGCAATACCATCCACTGCTGATTTCTCACCCAGAGTTCAGAGATCCAGATTTGCTTTTGTTTCAGTTTAAAACTTAAACTGAAATCTGGTCCGTGGAAATGTCACCTTTCTGTTTCCCTGGATTTGTACTGCATTTTGAAACACTTTGGCATAAAAGGCATTGTAAGAGTTTGAGTCTGCAGTGTATTTTATTGCCTAAATAGTTACATGGTTCCTATTCTTACTAGAGAAACGCAATGGAATGAGTGGTGTGAAGCATCCATTGAGGCTCCAAGAGGAACTGAGGACTAAAAAACCTAAACATTCACTTGTTTTATTTTCCTGTTTCTTGGTTACATTTTGAAAGTGTGTCCACTACCACTTCCATTAACATCAGCAGGGGGCTTGTAAATAAGCCTTTACCCAGTGTTTCAAAAAGATTAGCTTCTTGGTGGAAAAAGCAAAGAGATCCCAATCCACTTCATTACTTAAAGAAACAGAGCAGGACAGCAAAGAGAAAATCAAGTACAGGCAAGCACCTTAACACATCTTTGAAGTCTACATCTGAATACTTTATAACCTGAACTGAAATGTCAAATTTTGGAATACACAAAACATAATTCAGGAAAGACAGCCAATCAACTGGTTAGAAACATGGTTAAAAATGCAGATGACAAAATTAAATTAACTGCACCCTAATTTAGAAACTGGAGCATTTAGCTTGGTAAATATGTGTTTCATGAAGCTAGACTCACAGGTGGTGGGATGTAAACCAATCAACTATGGGGGTAATTACTTTTTCCCTGCTCGAGCTTCTGAAACTGTACATTCATGCTAACACTGAGGATCTCTAGACACCACAAGCCAGAGCTACAGAACTACCACCTCCTAAAAGATAAAATCTTTCAAGAGCTATGCCTGGTTTAAAGGTAAGAGATAGTAATTCCATTGAAGCTACAAAACTAAAATGTTTAAAAAAATTGTGGATCAGTAGGTACTATAGTGGAAATTTCTAGTGCTGCTGTAATTGAGGTTATAGCAGCATTTTCACAATAAACTGTATTGCCAGAAAAGTCATTCCATGCTGGAAGCTGGCATAGAAGACCTCATACCAGGCACAAATCCTTCAAGACCATGAATTTAGGTTGTATGATTTTTAGCTAAGAATTTGGAAGAAAAGAGGAAGCGAGAAGAAAAGTCTTATAAATGGAAACCAACAATGTAGGATTAACTAATGTTCAAACAGAATTGGTGGATACTTTTCAGTGCAGATGGTTTATTCCTCCAAACACACATACAACACCTGTTCAACGTAGCAACAAAACCTGTCACCTGAAAAAGACTGAGACGCTGAGATGTCCGAAATGTAGAAGAGCAGGTGGATAAAAGTTTCTTGTTGTAGTGATTTCTTAGAAAGGGCTGTTCTTTGGGTTTGTTTTTTTTGTATTTCTAAAGAAAAAATAAGTTTCTTTTTGTATAGTCTCACTCACCTGTTCTGGGTACTTGCTTCCAACTATCTCTGCCACGGTGTTAAAAGATGGAGAGTCTGGATAGGTCTTAGCTCCCATCTTCAGGTGCACAACAATCTTAGTGCCCCGGAAAGACATTCGTGACATCATTTCAGCATCTTCCACGGAGATGCAAGCAGTGGGGATTTGGGGTACATCAGGCTGGTAACTCTGCCCCCCTGTATGTGGGCTATTAAAAGAAAAATAAAAACACAGGGTTAACAACTTAGCTCTGTAATTGTTTTTATCACTACCATAGAATTATTAAAAAGAATACATTCACAACTATCCCCAGCAGACTCTCAAAAAGGGTATATTTACTATTTTTAATAAACCTTTCGATAAAATACATCAAGTGCTTTTACACTAATCAGAATATCTGGCTGTTACTATTATATATGTCTGGAAATCTATTCTGTGTCAGCTCTATTTAGGTCATTGTCATGCTTTGACATGCTCTGATACCACACTTTCTTTGCAGTTTTATCAGGAGGAAAAGCAATGAAAAGTCTGTAAGTGAACAGTTTACAAGAAGTACATTCTTTTTTTCCCCTGTGACAAGTAATGAAATGAAAATTCACTACTACATTTTAATGCTATTTTCCATATACTATATAACAGAATTGCAGAACAGTTGAGGTTGGCAGAGACCTCTGGAGGTCATCTGGTCCAACCCCTCTGCTCAAGCAGGGCCACCCAGAGCCAGGTGGCCAGAATAATGTACAACATGAAAATCCTCACCTATGAGCCTTCTTAAAGTAGCAGACACTTTTTTTTTTTTTTACATTTAAACAAAAAAAATCCCGAACAAACAAAAAACCCACCCAAAAACCCCCCAAAATCTGGGTTATTTTTAGGTCTTCCAGACTGGAAAAAAACCCCCACCTAATTTCTGGAGGAGATGTGGTGAGGAGGAAGAGAGAAATCTACTTTGTAAAGTTATAGATTAGGTAAAATGGGACAGATTATTCAGTTCTATTTGTTTAGAAGAATAAATCCTTCTCAGCAATAATATAATCAATAATATAACTCACAGAGTAGATATGTATAAATATTTATTTGACAAGAAAATACTAAAAACAGTTACAGAAGTCTTAGAGGAGCTGCTGCAGAATATAAATAGATCTGTTTATAGGTGGCAACAGCTCAGGAGATTATTGCTCCCAGTTGTTTACAGCTGAACCTCATACAAAGGCCGGTGCCTCTTCCATCAGCTTTGCAGGTTGGGTGACCCATAGCTCACCTCTGGAATAACAGTTACCCTGGTACTCAGAATGTCTTGTGCCACATAATCCTCCCTGAGTGGGATAAACTTATGTAGACTTATAAGTTCAGATCTTCTTTTTTCTTTTTCTTTCCTTTTTCTTTGTCCTTGTAGGAAAAAAAAAAAAAAGAAGGCAATCCTCATCCCTACTTTTAAACTCTGATAATTTGCTGCATATGTTTAATATTTCTTTGAGTGTTGGAGGATATACCCAGCATGTTAACCAGGAGACTTTCCAAACAATGTAAAATAAACAACACACTGGGGAAAAAAAAAAAAAAAAGAGAGAGATGACAATTTCATGTATTAATGTTTAAAAAACCCCCTACGTTCAACAACTGAGCCGCAGTAACTCTTTTTTTTCTGCTCATTTTAAATGAATCCATTCACCTGTGTCTTCTGGCAAGATTATGTCCTAGTACTAACGTGGTGTGTACACTGAATTGCAGTAATTCAAGTTTTATCACTGATTTCACTGTCCTTGTTATTTCCCAGATGCTCAACAAAAGAAGCCCCTAAAACTGTATTTGTTTCTCCAATATAAGCAGCAACTACATTTCTTTCAGATGCTCAATCCCAACGTTCCACCACAACTGTGAACAAAGCTTCTGACAACCTGCTGAGATTCACACGTGCTTACACACCCCAAATGAACGAACACTTGCAGGTACAAAATCTATCCAGTTACTCAAAAAATAAACCTGTAAGTCACCTGGTAGTGCAATTTTTATGTTCAAAATACTATTTTGCCAAGCTTACAAAGGTCAACCCAACTATCAAAATTAAAATATATTGGCACTGGCAGGCAGATACCAGGACCTGAAGGGAATGGATGACTGTCCAAATGAGTGCTAGAAAAAGGGAAATGGACCCTAAGCATTACCAATACAAAGGCACAAAACAATAACACAGTACTGTATATTCCAAATGCTACAAGACAAACTCACATAGAAAACATTTGTGGCAGACACTAAGAATCCCGGGAAGCACCTAATTAAAGCTTACATACATGCAAAATATGCCATGTATTAAGTATAACATCTACATAATAAATTGCTTAATAAAGCATCAAAGAGTACATTAAAAAGAAAGTAAAGCAAATTAAGGCCCTTTTATGCAGAGATAACCAAGAACTAGAAAGGTTACTGACCATATGGCAAGACCTGAGCAAGAATTAACTAAATAAAATAGAAATTACTTGCAGACTCTGTGTGTAACAGATGGAGAGAAGCATTTCTGAGTTTGGCTCAAAATAGGGCAAAAAGGATGTAGTCCAGGAGAAAGAATTTTTGTACTGGGGGTGAGGAAGATATTCTCCATTGAGTCTGAATAAACATGACTTTTTGACTATTACTTCTAAAGAAAAAGGATTTTACTTTAAAAAAAAATCTCTTATATTTACCATTCCCTACCCCTTGAAAAGGAAAAGAAAAGAAAAGCATCACATAAAACCAGCTAGAGAGATCACAAAGCAACCCTTACTTGAAATCAGCATTCAACTTTACAACATTGGTACCTACAGGCAAACAAGGTGACCCTTCATTGTCATTTGGTCCTGACATTCTTGTTCAACAGCTGACAAGATTCATATAAATAAAGTGGATGAATTTTGCTTTTGATAATCCCCTAGATTTCACATCTCAGAAAGGATTTAAGAGAAATATCATGGCATGAATAACATAGCAGAAGAAAGGTTCCAAAAGAAAAAAAAACTGCATGTCAAATGACTAGTAAGGAACAGATGAGGTTTCTATCCTACAGGTAAGCATAAAGGAAGAATAAAAAAATCAAGAGACTGTTTCTCTTCTGAGTAAAACAATCAAATGTGGAGAAACTAAAAAATGTGAATGAAAAGATGTGTTGCTGGTGTCAGGTCAGTTCTAAGTCTTATTACTGTGGTAGCTGACCTTGCATGCTTCTTTACTTTGTTCCTGCACTTCCAACCCTTATCTCTAAGATAAGCTAAAATGCCCAGGGAAAAATAATCTGTGTAAGAACTAGTGCTTCAAGCTAAACTGGATACTGTGATGGAAAATATATCTCAAATTGAAGCCTCATGCGAAGATAGCAATCTCCTAAAGAGAGAAGTAAGCATGACATTACAAGAACTCTAACATATCTAAAAGAAAAAAAAAAACAACCAAAACTTGATTATACAAAAGCTTACAAAGATCTACTTCAGCCATAATGTGTATGCACACAGACCCAATGCACCATTCTTCACATCAACCTCAAAAAGCAATCTAGGGTTTGGAAATACAAAATGAATGCTATCTAAGTGTCTTTAGTTTACTCACTCTAATAAAACACATTGCAAGACTCTAATTACATATCTGACCACCTATTTTCTACAGGACCCATGCAATATTCACTGTACGAACCACATGTAAACTAAGAGCTCATATTAGATCAGTTAGTTTGTTATTATTGACTTAAATCATAAAATACATTCATGAATGAAACCATGACTATATTAATCACTAGCTGTAGCCATAGCAGGATCACAGCCTTAACTCTCCATAATAGCCTCACATCCTCCTCATACTTTGCTTTTGTTTTTATACTTATATATATTCTACATATCACAAAAAATCCCCCCATATACAAAGCTTTACACTTCAAAGTGAGTGAAGAAACATACTGTAGCAAAACAGAGGGGAAACTATACATTTTGCTTTCGTACTCAGCTATGGAGAGTAGTTATTCGAGTGCCTCACTTTTGTAACTTTCTCTGCATCAGAAGCAGCATGGCAAGGCCTGAACTCTAGTCAAGTAAATAAATCCCTTTTTCCAGCACCATCATGTCCTTACAAAACAAAACTTGTCCTTGTGTGCACTCAAACTGTGTATTCTCACCACTATCTGTATAGAGAGGCCGAACTGTAATTGCAATTAGTCAAATGTCAAAAGTATTGTTAATCTTTTCAGAAGAATTAGGTCTATACAAAATAAAATCAAGACTATTCCCTATTTACAGTCACTTGGCAAAATATAAAAGAAATAAATTCAGCCTAATTTTGTGCTTCTGTCATCATTTGTCCCAAGATTCTCTTGCTTCATTTGCTTCTTATATTGTCTTTTTAGGATTTGATTTGCTGGTTTACAGTAAGTTGAAATGATAACAAGACTGTTAAATTTGAAACCAAATAGAAATATGCACAGAAAATTTCAAGAAGCTAAGGAGTAAAAATACAATGCAAATATGGAATTAATAATAAAGCAGTCTGGTACCAAAGTTAGAATATTTGGAATCTAGCCATACAGTCTCTTCCAGATTGCTTTGTACCAATCTTTAATTGATGTAGCATCTGCACAAGTTTAGTGAAGTGTAAGAAAGGCTCCAGAAACTACCAGCATTACCAAGGAAAATTCCCTTTTAAAAAGTGCACAAGATTACTCTGTTACCACAGGGACTCCATTTACATTTATATTCAGAAAACTGCATTTAATCAGTACAAGGCACCCATTAAAATTAGGCTTTACCAAGCAAGCATAATAGCTTTGCCATGATTACATATGTCCCAGGTTACAGAATGCAACTAACACGTATATGTTTTTATTCCATTATAATATTCAGTACCACAAGCACCAAGGGAATTCTATGGTAAGTGCAGAAATTTTTTAAAATAGCATGAATTAGATATGGGTTTTCAAACAAGAAGCAGAAAACAACTGTGAATGGTAAAATGATCAAATGAAGAAATCTGAATGAATTCCAATGAATTCCACCCCAGGACTATCCAACTGCTGGGAAAGTAGAAAAGTCCACACAAAGCTTTCCAAGGATCTATAGGAAATGGAAGTTTGCATCACCTGCTCTCCAACTGAAAAAGAAACTTGTTGAATCTTACAGACATGAGGATGACTCTCCAGCAGCTGACAACATCTTGAGGGAACTATTTAATTCATACACCTGTTTGGCCTCC